ACCTGAGTAAATCCAAATCTACTATAGCAACAAAATCACAAATCGCAACTTCAAAACAACAAACTAAAGGTAACTCACTATTTTATGAAGCCATCAATTCCATCTTTCCCATCCAGCCCTTCATGCCAGCGTGCACACTTTTTTAACGTAAATGCGAGATAGTGTATCTTCATAGCTAGCACTTCATTCATCTCAGATGACTTGATATTTGACTCTACTATAAGTTCCATAACTTTCACCAGACTTTTGTAGTTTGTAACAAGTTCTAAGTTGTCCTGTAGATACATTGCTATCTGGTGATCAAGGAAAAAAGACCTTAGTTAAGATTAATTTTCCTTAAAAAGAAGAAACATGCTGGAGCTTTCTAGGGTAGAGATGGGTGTTTCTCAAGCCAAGGAGCAGAGTATAATAATAGGCAACTGACTGTTAACATGTTAATAATTATTATGCAAAGATCAATTTGTATTTTGTGACAAACTTACTGAAAAAATACCATAACTGATAACTGTACATGTAGTCCTTCAAAGGACTACATGTGTACACATAATTTAAGGACAATGTGTTAAAGAGAGTGCACAGTGAAAATGGGTTTTTGAGCAGAGGTGAATTATTACCTTCACAGGGCTTAATTTTTGACTGACAGCATATTTGTGTAGCATGGGAACCAAGGCTGTAGATAGCTTGGGTTCTTTTTCTAAACCTGTCAGGAAAGACATCATTATAAACTTGTTTGAACACTTAAGATGATTTCGGCAGAACATTCGAGCAATAATGACAAAAATTAAGTTACCAAAAAAGCCTCACGGCGTGGTAATATTTTTACAGCTAAGAAGAACTTATCGAGACTTACACTCTCAAGCTGACCCCGTGAGAGTAAATTGAACTTGAAGTTATCCATACTTCAATTAAAACAGTAGTTTTACGTTACTTAAAAACACAATAACACGCTTTAGGCATTCTTACAGGGTTGACATTAACTTTCTTGAGAATGCTTGCCAATTTTAATCACGGGGTCACTTAGAAAAATGAAGTAAAGTGAGTTGTTTTAAATAGTATTCCAAAAGTTACTGTGCTGTGAGTGGATTTTTAGTAAAAAATATTTGCACTTATTGCTCAAACTTTGAGTGGAATCCATCTCAATCACTTAATATTGACTGGTTATTAGATTGGTCCAGATTTCTTGATATGGCCCACTCTCCTGCAGTGTAGCATTTTCATTTTGTGATTAATGGTTAGTCTAATGCTGCAGCAGTGTTTTATCACAGCCAAGGGACACATCAGGGACCCTTCTGCTTTTGCAAACTCACTGAGCATTGTTTTATTTGAAGGAAAGATAAAATAAAACCACTAATGATCGGGTCTGTTCATTCCAGAAGTGAAAATACCCATTCCAACAACCTGCAACAACCTTAATATATGTGGATATCAACTCAGTTAATGACTTGCAAAAGGAACTACATTGCACAATAAAAATTCAAATGTAATTATGGTAAAAATCTGTTACAACCTTGAGGCTTTGTATAATACTCCAAATCCTCCACTGCCAAAAAGTTGTTGATGAGGCTAACACAGTCACTTTGCCCTGCAGGAGTAAAATAAACATAGTCCTGACTGTCTTGTTTTTATACAAATCTTCTTTCAGTCTCTTACACAGTATATTATAGTATAGTACAAATGCATCATATGGTGCTTCATAGCATGCCATAGAAAATACAGCCAATCAGAATACAGGAAAGCGGTTGTATATTCCACAGTATTACATCCAACCTTCCCATCAAGTGCTGCGCGTATGTTGCATTGATTGTGTTGGGCACTTTATTTTCTATGGCATGGTATAAAATAGTTATGCAACACTCTCGACGTGGTAATTATCATGGAACATCTCACTTGTCACTTGTGTTTTCTAAGTATACACAGTCACCTAAACGCTCATTTGTATACTGAGAAAATACAAGCGACTCGTAGGATATTCCATGGTGTATTACTCCATGGTATTTAAAGCCTTTTCATACCGACAAAAGCTCCAAGTTGAGCAGCTGTCCGTCCAAGATTGTTCTCTGCATTAACTTTGGCTCCTGCTTCGAGTAATACTCTTGTAGTGTCCACAGATCCTAAATGAAAAGATCCATAATTTGAACTACATAGCTATAGCCAACATTTTTCTTGAAAATTACATGTACATACATGTACGTTAAAATTATGCAAAAAAAGCATATAAGTCAAACAGAGAAACTGATTCCTATTCACTCTTTAATAGCAAATTCTATTTGTACACACCTGAGAGACAGGCAAACATAAGTGCTGTGTACTGATATGAAAAGATATAGAAAGATAGTGTTAAAATTGAAAGATAATAAGTGACAGCCAAGAATTATTAAGGGTACTCATTCACTGAAAATAATTATGCATATATTACAAAATAACAGGACAGCTACACACTTACATTCTTTATCAGTATGTTGGTTCAAAATAAGT